AACAAAGAGACATCCTGTGGCACCATAAAGATTAATTGATTTATTTGGGGACAAGCTTTTGTGGGTAAAACCCACTTCATTGGATGCATTGGAATATGTCAGATGCATTGCAATACATCTGAAGAAGTGGATTTTATCCAAGAAAGCTTATGCCCAAATGAATCTGTTAGGGTATGTCTACACTGCTACCCTAGTTCGAACTAGGGTGGCTAATGTAGGCATTCGAAGTTGCAAATGAAGCCCGGGATTTAAATATCCCGGGCTTCATTTGCATCTTGCCGGGCGCCATTTTTAAATCCCCCTTAGTGCGTACGAGGGGTACCGGTAGTTCAAATTAGAGAGCCTAATTCAAACTACCTACTCCATGCTTAAGGGACGTGTAGCATGTTTTCTCTTCTATAATTTTCACCTTCTTATGAAACAGCGATGAGTTCTGTGACACCTTAAAGGCTAAGGGTATGTCTACACTGCCACCCTAGTTCGAACTAGGGTGGCAGTGTAGACATACCCTTAGCCTTTAAGGTGTCACAGAACTCATCGCTGTTTCATAAGAAGGTGAAAGTTATAGAAGAGAAAACATGCTACACCTCCCTTAACTTTCCTAATCTATCTTCTCTGCACCTTATTTCATCATTAAGACCTATGCAAGCTTAATGTAAATCACTGCTTTGGTAGCATTTCACCCCAATGAGTGACTGTCATTTTACTTATTTCCTTAATAAAACCAGTTAGTACAGACAAGAGTTTAAAGTTGTGATTGTTTGTGGTCACTGGCCTTGCCCTGTGTGGTCCTAGAGCCTCCCAGTTTGAGACAAGCACTGAAGGTGGTTTTCACCTTGTTGAGCTTGAAACTGTAACACCAGGAGCTGAACCTTCTGTGGTTTAGCACAGAGCCAGTAACTTGATTTAAAAAGAGGCTACGCTCGGCTCAGGTGGACATGGCTGAACAAGGTGCAGAGACCCCAAATGACTAACTTGACTCTGTTGGATTGAAGCAGTAGTAGGGAAGGCATATTTAGCTTGTAATTGCTTAATAGTCATGGTTCTTGCACTAGCCACTAGTGACAGCAACCCACTGAATCCAACTGTGGCATGAATTGTTATTCTATGCAGGTGAGATGTTACAGCAAAGCTGAAAAGGCTTTATAGTTAATTATTTCATCTGTTTCCTTCCACACTCCTAGGTTGCGTCTAGTCTGGCATGATTTTGCGCAAAAGCATCCGCTTTTGTGCAAAATCTTGCCGCTTGTCTACACTGGCCGTGAGTATTTGCGCAAGAACACTGAGTTTGTAATGTACAAAATCAGTGGTTCTTGCGCAAATATTCTGACGCTCCTGCTCAGGGATAAGCCCTTTTGCGCAAGTATTCTTGCGCAAGAGGGCCAGTATAGACAACAACGTTAATTTCTTGTGCAAGAAAGCCCGATGGCTAAAATGGCCATTGGAGCTTTCTTGCGCAAGAGAGCATCTACCCTGGCACGGATGCTTTTGTGCAAAAGCAAATCTTTTGCGCAAAGGCACATGCCAGTATAGACGCTCTCTTGCGCAAATACTTTTAACGGAAAAACTTTTTCGTTAAAAGTATTTGCGCAAAATAGTGCCAGTGTAGATGCAGCCCTAAAGTGTGCTGACAGCAGGTGCCTCTGTGATATCTCTGGGTATATGTGGAAGCTTGTCTGTGCTCTAATGCGGCACTGGAGATGCTGGGCCCAGTTCTATACTGCTGTAACTCCATTCACTTCAATGGATTTGTTCCTGATTTCTATTGGTGTAAATGAGAGAAGCTTCAAGACTTTTGGACCTCTGTGGACAAATCCCTGCTGCTAAGAGAGACACTGGAAAGAAGCCTTTGAAATCCTGCTGTCTCTGTTCATAAAGAGGGAACAGTATAACATTCTGGGGGGTTAGACTATGACTTCTGGCAAGGCTCTGCCCAAAATTGCACTACTGCAGGAGAGGCCTGAGAGGCATTGACTGGGCCAATCCTCTCTGTCTCAGCTCTTCCTTTGCATCCTCCTTGTTCCCAGGTGCTAAGCATTCACCACTGGTCTATAGCAGCAGGAGATGATGGTCTCTTTCAGTGAAGAGCTCCACCAGGCTCCTCCAATCATCTGCTGGGATTGGTCCTGCTTTGGGCAGGGGGCTGGACTTGATGAGCTCCTGAGGTCTCTTCCTGCTCTATGATTCTATGCCTGCTTGTCCCAGCCAGGAGCCAGTAAGGAGATGAGGATCCTGGGAAATGTACCTGGATAGCCCAGGTAAGGGCCTAAAGGGATCCTCATTCCCTCTGACTGCTCTCTTGCCCACTCATCTAGCCCATGTCACAACCCTGCTTTACCCTTTGGTGTTGTTTACAATATAAGTGTTAATACAAATAAAATGTGAGCTTTGGTCTTCAGGATATACATTGCCCACCCGATTAGTGATGCTGAATATTAACCCAGAGCCACTCCGCTTTTGTGATGGTCCATGTGAATCGGTCTGAAACCTGAAGAAAAATCATCTGCTTCTTAGAAGATGGCAGGGGTTGGAGAAAATTCTAACCGCATAGGAAGTCTTAAAACAACAGCTGGGCGCACAAAAGCTGCTGTACCTGAAGCATCTCTGTGCTTTAAGTGGTAATATGTTTTCCTCATTACAGAACAATAGCTAAGATATTGCAGTAATCCTTATGCTAACAAAGGTCACACAGATTATCTTGCGAGATACTTTATAGAACAATGGGGGATGTCATGCTGAAACCATGCTGTGAATATGTAGATAGTGCATGTAGGCTTAAAGAAAATCTGAAATTCAGAGCATCTTCAAACATAGCATGCAAATGGGTCATCATGGCATGCCATGTGCACTCTACATGTGTGTGCATAGATGTAGGGCGCTTAGTGTGACATGCCATGGAGTCTTGTTATGCTGCACATGGGAAATTTAAATGGGCTCACCCCTGTGTGAGTAAAAACTGAGATCTAAATGGGAGAGATTTTGCCAAAATTTACACCAGAGTAATTCCAGTGTCTTCCGTGGAGTTAGTCTGACTGATTTTCACCAGTTTTACATGATAGCAACATTAAAAACTTTCTGTAGTTCATCTATGCCTTTCATTACATGCAAAAAGCACACAAAAGCGATTCAGTTTGTTCATAAATGAACACGGGAGTAATTTAAGAAAAGTTTACTTTAAGATGAACAGTTTTTGATTAGTATGCAGGCAAATGGAAGAGTTCAGGTTCAAAGATAGCATTTCCATAGACTTGAAAATGAAGCAGACAATGGGAAAATAATACATCCCAGAAATTAAACTAATCAATGTTGATTACTGTTACTCAGCAAC